CCCCGGAATAGTCACCCCAAAGTATCCCTAGAGTAGCCATCCCCAGAGTATCTCTGCCAAAAGAAGATGGAGATATTCGAAATAAAATGTTATTCCTTAACCGGCGAAGGCTTGAAGTTCCATGGGAAAGTTTAGGGTTTAGGGTTTAGGGTTTAGGGTTTAGGGTTTAGGGTTTAGGGTTTAGGCGCTTTTCAGAAGAAGGATTTAGGGTTGCGGTAAAGATCAAAATCAATCATTCCTTATTGCGCACCGCTCGAGACTTCTGCTCGAAAGCCCCCCGTTGGACCCCGCGGCTAGACCTACTCCTCCGCCGGGCCAACTTCGAGAGCTTCCTGCACCGAGAGACTTGTGCAAAAATAAAGGGTGCAAGAGACTTCTGCTCTCAACAGCACCACTAGCAATGAAAGCTACCTGTACAGAGCATGGCGCGAGGGAAAAGCGCAAATTGACACCCTTCCTCATCCTTGGCCCGAAAATGTCTCTGATTCTCACGCTTCAGGAGATGCAGGGGTGTGGGAAGGCTGCGGAGTCAGGGCCCAGGTTGGAGGGTCCCAACCAAAACCCAGCCAGAATATGGCCCCGCCGGCAATGCAAGCTCCTGACTGCCACAGTGTCAGCGCCTTCGGCCCCACTTTCATCATAGACTGGGTGGCCATTGCGGAGAGAAGGCTTGGGGGAATGCTTTGTGCTAAGATCTCGAACGATGCCGCCATGCCAGCGCAATCTTTCAGAGGTTCAAAGAACAGGACATTTGTGGAAGCCCAGGCCATCATCAGCACGCTCGCCTGCAGAAAGGAGCCCACCAGGTAGCACCATAGATGATCAGAGAAGAAGAGGCCTAGAAGCATCGAGATGATACCAGAGAGAGCCAGAAGGGACAGAGTAACTCGGCCCAGGCGGAGGACACTACCTAGCTGGACTCGCTCGATAGACAGGCCGCCCAGTCCACACAAAGCCCCAAAGACGAGCATGACGCTGGAGGTTGCCATGACAGATCGACTGAAGCTTACCTCCATCAAGTAGCTGACGTTGGCGTTAAATGTGAAATATTGCCCCAAAATGCAACTCTCGGTCAGCAGCAAACAAAGAAGGCGCGGATCCAGGATGCGTGCCACATTCTTCAAGTAGCTCTCATTGTTGCCCTCGGGGCGCGATTCCACCATGGCCCAAAAGGCGTATGCCGCCAGCAGCCCCCAGACAACTGCCAAGCCAAAGAAGGAGAGGCGCCAGCTGAGGTAAGCTGCACACATTCCTCCATACAGAGGGGCAACAGCGGTACCAACAATGGCCGAAATCTGCAAAGTTGTCATGACCCTGAAGCGCTCGCTAGGGTTGGGGAAGTAGTCCCGAGCCATGGCAAACAACACCGGCTCGACTGATTCCCCCATGCCTTGCAGAACGCGAGCAGCGATGAACCATTCCTTGGCTGCACTTAGGGGAGTAGCTAAAAATTAAACTTTTAAACCCAATAAGCCCAAAAAAGGCTAAAGATGTAAAGTTACAGTAAAGTACCACAAAGACTCGATCCGCCCAGCACATGCGCAGCACGAGCTGGCCAGGCTCAGCAGAACAACACATGCCAAGACGACCGGCCGCCTGCCAATGCGGTCGGACAAACCTGCACTGATAAGCCCAAAGATGGACTTCACAACCAGGTTCAACTGAACCGTACCACTCATCAACGCCTGTGAGCCGGCAAGATCTGACTCCATCTGTGGCAGACTCGGCACGTACTGGTCGGTGCTAAAGTAGATGAAGGCATAGACAACTCCCATATACATCACCCAGCTGCTTGGACAAGCCTGCGGAGCTTGGGACTGCGTAGGTGCTTTGGAAGGCAGACGAGCCAAGCAGCAGCGACTGGAAGCCATCAGAAACCCAACGTCCACGAAGACAACGCAGTACTTGCTGATACTCTCGAGAGCGCTGCGGGCGTGACTTTCCGAAAAAACCGTTCGGGACCAAGAGAAGAGGGGCCATACTCTGCTGATCCTTGTTTGCAATGCCGTGAACAAGCAACGAGACCAGAACGCAGCTTTATCAATCCCTAAACCCTAAACCCTTGCTTTCTGCATCTTCAACCCATGTCACCTATCCACTGTAGGGCAATTCGGAAGTCCACTGCAGCCTACGTTCGATAGGAATGGAGGTTTCGGGTGGAGGGCGCAAACTCGATGATAGTGGTATTTGCGGGGTTTACGAAAAGAGGGGACCCCTAAAGTAGACCCCAAATAGTAGGATTCCCAAAAAATTAGGGCCCCAGTAAGGTACCCCTAATTTCGGAAACTCCCCTAAACCCTAAACCCTAAACCCTCAACCCTAAACGCTAAACCATTCTGATGCAATCAGGGAATCCACTGCTGTCTGCAGTCTAAAGGAATGGCGCAGGCAGGGTTTCGGGCTTAGGGTGCAACCCTAAACCCTAAACCCTAAGCCCTAAGCCCTAAGCCCTAGGCCCTAAACCCTAAACCCTAAACCCGGCAGTGGCAGACATGCTTCGTCCTGTTTTGCAGCGCATGCCCCCCCAACATGCTGCCCCCTGGGTCGGCTGGGTGAGAAACATCTCAGCAGCAGCTGCCCCCCAAAGACCGCCAAACACCCGAACTCCTAAACCCTAACGAGGAATTGTCTTCGTTTCGTCTATGGAGCCAGAAGCTCACTAGTGAACCTTCTTCTGAGCTTCTAGGGTTCACACTTTGGCAGCAGCTGACCTGCACAGCCGTGGCACAGAATTCGGATTCAAGCTCACGCCCCTGCAGCTGCGCTGCAGTGAGAGATATGCAACTTGTGCATCTCCTCTTCGATTGTCTGCCTTGTCACCTTATTTCTCCAACAACCAAGGAAGATGAAAAGAAGATTAAACTTCATTCTTCCCACCAAGCAACCCTAAGCCCTAAGCCCTAAGCCCTTAACCCTAAACCCTAAACCCTAAACCCTAAAAGACAAGCCTCTAACAAATTTCAAGTCCATTTCTTGGCGAAAAGTAAGTCGCAAAGCGCCAGACATGGATCTTGCCTTCAGCCTGCCCCACGCGGCGGACTCGGGCCAGGGCCTGCTTCTCATAGGAGCCAGGAGGGTTTAGGGTTTAGGGCTTAGGGTTTGGGGTTTGGGGTTTAGGGTTTGGGGGTTAGTGCCAGCGCCTGCTTCTCATATGCCACTGCCGAGCTCAGGCTCTCCGCATTCAGGGGATGGACAAGGACCACATGACCTAGACCCAAGAGGAACCTAGGGATAAAAAAGGGGCACACTTTTTGGGGTTGAAAGGTGACTATAAGGAACCCTAGACCCAGGAGAAACCTAGGAATAAACAAAATGGGTTACCCTTATTTTGGGGTTTCAAGGTGATTATTTACAAGGGCCCCGAAACCCTAAGGAAAAAAAGGGGTACCCTTTTTGGGCTTAAAGGAGATTCTTAGGGGCCCGAAGCCCTTTAACAAAAACCCAAGGGAAGAAGGGCCGACCATGGAGTCCGAGTGGCTGGCCGCAGTGAGGTTTGTCCCCAAGGCCACGTGGTCCACTGACAGAAGCAGCACAAAAGCCTCCCCCCCCAAACCCCCCAAACCCGAATTCCTAAACCCTAAACCCTAAACCCTAAACCCTAAACCCTAAACCCTAAACCCCAAACCCTAAACCCTAAACCCCAAACCCTAAACCCCAAACCCTAAACCCTGAGCCCCTAACCCCTAAATCCCAAATACGAAGGCCTCCGGCGAGGTGCAGAAGCTCTTCATGGCCGTCGCCATCTCCCTCCCGGCATTCCTTGGTAGCCCATGAACCATATCACAATAAGGGCAGCCTTTTAATGGGGCTGGTTACTTTACAAAGGGTTAAACCCTAAACCCTAAACCCTAAACCCTAAACCCTAAAACCCTAAAACCCTAAAACCCTAAACCCTAACACCCTAGACCCTACATTCGAAACCAAAACAAAGGAACAAGGGTACCAGAGGGCCAGCAAGATTCTTGCTCGTGGGAAGCTGCGTGGCTGGAAGCCCATGGGTCCGGAGCACCTCGGCGACCTTCATCCTCACTGCTAGTTTGTAGTTGGAACGGGGGAATGAGGTACAGCATATAAACCCCAAACCCCCAAACCCTAACTTGCACCTCCTCGTCATGGACCGCAGCAGGGTTCGCTTGCGCGGCGATCGGCTGCGGGTCTCCGAACGTGATCAGCTCAAGCCTTGGAGCTTTCGGTTGGCTTCGGAGGGTTTAGGGTTTAGGGTTCAGGGTTTTAGGGTCTAGGGGTTAGGGCTTACCATGGCTTAGCAAGGTTTATGCCGTAAGGTTGTGAGGCTTGACGTTTCGGACTTTGTAAGGTGTAGGGTTTAGAATTCGTAAGGTGTAGGGTTTAGAGTTTGCTGCTAGGTATCCCCAATAGCCCCAGAGTCTTGGGAGTCGTTTTATTTGAGAATCCCTTGTTTTGCCTAATGGGGGCAATGCACTAATGGGCGTGCTAGTTTAGGAGGGGATCCTTAGAGTTGGTCTGGGGGGGGGTACGACTGCATCAGGAAACTTTAGGGTTTAGGGGTTTTGGGATGCATGGTATACTTCGCCCAAAGCATCTGTGTCTATTGCTGCAAATGGGTTGTTTGAAGATTGGGCTACGTGTTCCCTGCCAAACGCACTTTACTTTGCAGCTGCCTGACAAACCCTCAACCCTATGTAAAGCCTAAACCCTACATAAACCTTAACCCCAAACCCTTCTCTAATCCCTAAACCCTCAACCCTACTGGTGTCGACTTCCACCAACCAGCAGCAAAAAGACCAACAAGCTTGGGTTTAGGGTTTAGGGTTTCGGGTTTCGGGTTTCGCGTTTAGGGTTTAGGGCCCTAAACCCTGAACGCTTCGAAATCTAACCTTTCTTAGCTCATCCCTAGTTGCAACTCATCCAAGTCAAAATCTGTACCATCCCTTCAAAAGGCTCATAAAACCCCTATGAAGACCTTTGAAACCAACCCTAAACCCTAAACCCTAAACCCGAAACCCTAAACCCTAAACCCTAAACCCTCACCCTGAACCCTAAACCCCCCAAAAACTCTCTCTGGCGCACCCGAGGAGCTGCTTCAGACGCTAGCCCAAACAACCTCCTCCAGCTTCACAAGGCGATCAAGCAAGCCTCCCAGAAAGAACAGCAGTAGGTTTAGGGTTTAGGGTTTAGGGTTTAGGGTTTAGGGTTTAGGGCTTAGGGTTTAGGGCTTTGGGTTTTACAAGGGTTTAGGGTTTAGGGTACTTCCTAACCAAATAGTAACTGCACTTAGACTCCACTTATAACCATACGAGGGTAGCCTCTCAGAAAGAACAGCAGTAGGGGATGCGAAGGTGGGGCTCGTCATTTGAGTCCCCTGCTTTATAACCTGTACATACACTTCGAAGCAGGGGAGTCCTAAGGGGGGGTTGGGGTTTGGGGTTTGAAGGTCTGCTGAAAACATTGGGATTTGGAGTACGAGCAGTCTTGGGGTTGAGGGTTTGGGGTTTGGGGCCCGTGGAAAATGTTCGAGGATTTGGCGCATCATAGGCTGCGGGTCGTTCATCTCGAAAGGGTTCTACAAGGGCGCATGCAGAGCTTGAGAGGATAATGGGCTTAGGGTTTCGGGTGGCCCACTGCACTCAACGAAATTTTCGTTTCGCAACTCTCAACCCCAAACCCAAACAGGGTCGAAGGGCCTGAGGGTCTTTTTTTTCAGGAGCCGTTTTATAGGGTTTCTAAGCTTGCAGGACTTCTATTTCGCGCAGATGTGAGTAGTTCTTGGGGGCTGAATGTCCTGGCCTAAACAAGGTTCATCGTTCATTTGTAAAAGAATTCTGCGTAACCAAAAATGTTAACAGGTTCACTACCCAGCCCCTAAGAGTTGCTAACGACCGCGCAGTTCTGAGTGAGACGCGCAGCAGTCTGCACTCATTGCAGCCCTAAACCCTAAACCCTAAACCCTAAACCCTAAACCCTAAACCCTAAACCCTAAACCCCAAACCCTAAACCCTAAACCTAAACCCTAAACCCTAAACCCTAAACCCGAAACCCGGCTTGCCGGGGTGTGATTGAGGTTTGACTACAAGACCTGGCTCTCCAGCGCTTCTGACAAGCAGTACAGCCTAAACCCTAAGCACTAAACCCTAATCCGTAAACCCTAAACCCTAAACCCTAAACCACTGACTAAACTGAGCAAATCCACCATCTCAAGCCATGCTGCCCCATGAGGCGTTGTCGCCACATTTCTCCCCGCTCCACGCCCTGCACAGCTTGTATCGCAAAGGCTCCCCACCCTAAACCCTGAACCCCAAATCCTAAACCCTGAACACTCAGGCCCCGGTAACTTGAAACTATTCTAAAAAATCCAAAGCAGAAACTCCTCGAAACTCCTCGAAACTTCCCCGGACCTGCACCTTTAATAGTTTCAATAAAACCCTCAACCGTAAACCCTAAACCCAGATTTTCAAAACCCTAAACCGTTACCGGGTCGGTGGGCCTTCATGCTCGCTGGCCTTTGCAAAGAAGACCTGAGCGCTGCTTCTGTGTCGCCCCCTCAAAAACAAAGCTTCCCTAAACCCTAAATTGCCCGAGATGAACATACTACATGCATGGGTTTCGGGTTTAGGGTTTGAGGTTTGGGGCTAGCAGTCGAAATTGCAGTAATACGGGTTTATAGGCATTCGAGAGTGTTGCCTTGTTTGCGGCAGTGGAGTTTCAGAGCTCAAAACACCGCGGCGCGAACTCTGCGGTCGGACAGCGGACCCCTAAGCTATTGAGGCTACCCCCTTTAGGGTTTAGGGCTTAGGGTGTAGGGTTTAGGGTTTGCAGTTCAGAGGTTTTAGGGGTTTAGGGCCAATAAGCATCTTGTGGCTCTTACGGTTCAGGGTTGTTAAGGCGTTTTGGGGGGTCGTTGATTCCAGGCAACGAGATCTGGACCGGTTTCGTCGGTTTCATAAGTTTCTGCCCCTGTCCAAAACCATGCACAGGTAACCCGAAAGACGGACACCAACCTATAGGTTCTCACAAATATGTTTCTTTCTTGGCAACCCTAAATAAGGCCCCCTAGTATAATAGGAACCCCGAATGGGGCCATGTAATACAGTACACAGCATTCCGAAAGTCGATGACTTCAGTGTCAAGATGGATGTCTATCCAATTAGGGCACCGCCCTTCTACACCCCAAAAACTGCTCACAATGAATCCTGATTCTACGAATCCAGCGCGCCCCCCAAAAATGGCAAAGAAGGGCCCCTAATGTTGGGAAACCCCCATAATATTGTCCCACAGTAGGCCCCTTCCTAACCCTGGTTTGGGTTCACGGTTTTAGCAAACTTAGGGGAGGGGAATTGAGGCAAAGAAATGGCGTGAGGGCACTGCAGGGCAGCACAGATCCTATGTCCTAAAGCCTAAATCCAGAACTGAGGGCAGCCAGAACCAGAGGCTCCAAGACCGTTTATTCAGAAACCATTCTTATGATGATCCTTACTTTTTGGGGGGATGCTCTTAAGAGGTATTGGCGTCCCTGGGTATATGAACGAATTACTCAAACCCGAAATAAACCGTCAGCCTTAAAACGCTAAACAAGCCCTAAATGACCCTAAAACCTAAATCAACCCTACATAAACCCTACATAAAACCAACCCCAAACCCCAAGCCCTAAACCCTAAACCATAAACCCAAAACCCTTAAAACCCTGAATCAAACCCTAAACCATAGACCCCAAAACCTCAAACCCCTAGATGAAACCCTCAACCCTAAACACACCCTAAACCTTAACACCCTAAACAAAACCCTAAACCCTCTTGGGTTTATGAACCCTAAACCTTAAAACCCTAAACCTTAAAGCCCTAAACAAAACCCTAAACCCTCTTGGGTTTATGAACCCTAAGCCTTAAAACCCTAAACCTTAAAGCCCTAAACCCAGTCCAAGACACCTGCTCCAGTCGCGATGCACGGGCGGCCAGGGGCTCCATCACCGAGGCAGCCAGGAAGTTCTCGAAGGGTCGCTCGGGTTTAGGGTTTAGGGTTTAGGGTTTAGGGTTTAGGGTTTAGGGTTTAGGGTTTAGGGTTTAGGGTTTAGGGTTTAGGGTTTAGGGCGACATAGGGTAAAATGGATTTAGGGCATGAGCCAAACAAAAATTCTGAGCGGTTTGAGTTCAGATGTGCCTGCAGACCGGCGCCGAAATCCCCAGTCATCACAGTTCCATAGGGGCGTGAACCGTTGGCCAGGTTGTGAGGCACATTACCTGAAGCCAGAAGGCTTCCCAGCCGCATTCATGCAACCGGCATCAACCATTTCCTGTCGACAACCGATCGCAAGGCCTGCACGGTTTCTCGCCCTTTTCTACGGCCTCGAAGGGTTTTAGAACATGTTGAATCGTAATAGGATAATACCCTAAACCCTAAACCCTAAACCCTAAACCCTAAACCCTAAACCCTAAACCCTAAACCCTAAACCCTAAACCCTAAACCCTAAACCCTAAACTGTAACCCAAAATTTCTAAACCTTTCGAGCCCAAACCCTTAAACACCAGGATGCCTTTGCAGGCTGCCTAGCTCTCTTTCCCGCTCGCTCAGTCACTGCCCGCAGATGGCCCAAGCCGTAGCTGTTATAGCTGTTATTGAGTAACAACGAAACCCTAAACCCAAAACCCTAAACCCAAAACCCAAACCCAAAACCCAAAACCCAAACCCAAAAACCCTAACTAAACCCTAAAGGCCCTAACCCTAAACCCTAAACCCCAAACCCCAAATCCGGGCTTCTTCAGCTCCGCGGATGCAGCGACGGCTCCTTGTTGCGGGCTTCGATGGCTTAGGGATGGCGCAACGCCCAGCTCCCTCCCCCAACGAGGAGGCGAACATCGGCCTGTCACTTTGTGACAAACCTGCGACGAGCTAAGACTTCCTGTGAAAAACTTTGGATTTGCCTGTGACTGGGCGTACGCCCACACTCGAATTAGAATTGACTCTGTCAGGACGTTCCCCCTTCTGACAGTCCTTGACAGGGATCTAGGGCCCCCTATTATAGTAAACTTTCGAGACCATGCGAAGTTCAGGGAAGCACTGACAGCATTCCTTTCGATGTTCCCCCTTTTACTAACAGCCCTTAATAAGGGACTATCGTGCCCCCCTATAATAATCCCTGCTAAGGCTGGGGGAACACCCCAGAGCATTAAAGCATTCCCGTCTCAGACGCCGTTGGCCGGAGTCGCGCCTGAACAGCCCACACATGCGCAAATCGAAACTCGGTCGTTCGACAGCGGAAGCATGAGCAAGAAGAGAAAACAAGGCACAGCCTGCTTTAACACCTGCAAGCTTCAGGGTGCTAAACGGGGAGAAGCAGAAGTCTCCCAACTTGCTGTCCACCCGAAGCCCTGCACAGAAGCCCCTAGACCCCTTCCGAAAAGACACCAAAGAGGGTGTTAAGCAACGCCAAACTTCTAAGAACCCCAAACAAGACTCCCCACCCCCCCACCTTCCCCCGTCCTCCCCCCCCCCCCCTCCAACAAAAATGAACTGTCCAATTGGCCTCGGCCCGGGCCATAGGCGTCAGAGGTCCTATGGGCTCTAAACTATTGCACCTGGAAACCCCACAAAACCTAAACCCTGAACCTTAAACCCTAAGATGCTGGCCCAGGGCCAAGCCCGAAAGCCCTCAATTCTCAACCTTAAAATTCTCGGGCCGTGCCAAAGCGGATGACGCGCAGCGTTTACAAAAAGGAAGGGAAGCAAGAGAAAACAGTACAAGTACCTGGCATCTAGTAAGGAGATGTTGTTGGACTGCCTCATTGTCCCGGCCTTCGTGGGCTTCTGCTGGCGGCCTCTCGGCTGTGGGCATCTCCGGGATTTTCGCCTGCTTGACGCCTGTGATCCTCCAAGGATGTGGGCTTTTAGCTCGTGGGATGAAGGTTCTTCAGCTTTGTGAAAGACGTCTCAGCTCTCGTTGCATCACTCCCTCAACTCAACGCACGACCCGAAATCACCCTCTCCCTACTCCCCCTCCTGACTCCTGTTGTGGATCCGGAATTCGGAGAGCCCTGCCAACCAATACCCATCCCTTTGCCTAGAGCTGACTCTGTCAAATCAGTCCTGAGCCCATGGCGGTCAACTTCCACCTGGAGCCCCACGATGTGATGGCCCTCCCTGGCCACGGCCTCAAAGTCAAAGGATTGCGCGTAGCCGAAGAGCCTCCGAGCACCTGTGTTGGTGGTGACCTCGATGGCTTGGAGGTTGCGTTTCCAGACTATTCCGCCATGGTGCGTCAGCCTCACTGCTGTGATATACTGGCCATGCTGGAGGTAGAAGCACTGGTCACAGCGCTCTTTGCCTCCAAACTGCTTGTCTGTGCGCCCGCTCCTACAGGGGGCGGCAGCATGTGGGAAAAAGATGCGAAACTTCTCCGACAAGCCGGTATTCGACTAAGTTATTCACAAAGCCACACCAAGAGATTCCCGCGCAGGGCCTTCGGACGAAGACAGCCTTAGCCACGCCTAGACGACTTGCAGGTGAGAAAACCACGAAGTGCACGCTGTGGACCTCGTCTCATTACAGGATCAGCACGGGATCCCTCCAACCCCCAATGCTTGCTGCTACAAGCAGAAGCTTATCACCCACAAGTTCTGACGTTAGGACCTGCCAAGACCTAGATGACTACATGACTGACTTGGAAGGAGACGTGCTGATCCGCGGCTTGCACCAAAGCTTGCTGCTGCACATCGCCAGAAGCCAGCAGCTTCCGGGTGATGGCGTCCTTGGCCGCCAAGAGGGAGCTGCCGATGGCGCAGAGAATGGACAGGATCAAGAAGGGGTTCTTTTGCACGTAGACGACAAATAGCGTTTGTGTGATCCCCTGGGGGACGTCTTCCCCAATCGTGCGTGCGATTTGTAGTAAGACCCAAGTCTTCTTCTGGTCCGCTGGCAAAGTGAGCCGAGCGCAGACGGATTCCATGTGAAGGAGCTTAAGTATGCACGCGCGGGTCGGGTCACGTAGCGCCAGCCACGCAACGATCCCCCACTGCAGGCAAACAACGCCAAGCAGGTAGCACCCGATCATCCACGGCGCCAGCAGCTGCGACACTGGGTTATGTGACTTGAAAGCAGTAGCAGTGGCCACCGCATCCTGGTAGGCATCAAAATATGCCATGAAGGACATCGCGAACTTGAACACGAAACCGTTCATGACGTCGAACCTGTGCGCTTTCAGGGGTCAAACAGCAAAGCAACATAACACAACCACACAACCCCAAGGCCCTAAGTGTCTCTATAGTTGAGCAGAGTTGAACAATGGAATCAAGCAGAGGGTGGCCCGCGCCCACGAATGCCCCCACCTCTCCCTCCTCAGCACCGGAAGGGGACTGGCAAGTGTCGGATCACTGTTGTAGATCCACAGTTCAGCGGCTTTGGTGGCGAGAAAGACGACCAAAAAAATCAGGTGAATCTCCCAAGGTAATCCGTCATCGACATCTATGGAGTTCCAGGAAATTACGGGCACCAGCAGGCAAGTGAGCACGTACAACCCGAAGAGGACGAGCAGCACCAGGTCCCTCCTGGCAAGCAGCGGTTACTGGTGATTGCCCCAAACAACCCGTGCAACTGAAATCAAACGAGCCTCATCTGCCCCAACTTTGGAAAAAGGAGTGGAATGTTGTCGCTTAAGTCGACAGAAGATGATACAAAACTAGATGGCTCATTCTCGGTCAAGAGCCTACTGCACAGCTTTCGAATGCGGTGTCACTCCTCTGGATAAACGTCGCGTGGTCAATTGCAGCTTGTTGTTGACGTCCGAGCACCATGCCAAGCACCTCCCAGTTTGATCAGTGAATGTCACCATGTGCAAAGCGCTGAGGCATCCCCTGCTAGGTTTGACATGCTTGTCAGAGCCTTGCAATTACGTCAATTAGGTCCATATCTTGGATTGCGCCGCGGTGCGATATGCTTTGCCCCCCCCCCCCCCCCCCCCCCCCCCCCCCCCCTCCCAAGCTTTGGTTCAACATGGACATGGGCACCTGGCACGGCCTACGGCTTTGATTGCCAAGCTTATCTTTATCGATTTCCTGTGCAGCACCTGTGATGCTCGGAAGGCCGACTGCGCGCCAGATGACTCCATTTGGCCGGCAGCTGTGAAGCCCATGCCGGGCGGTGCCTCGACTCGTGCCAGCCTTCACATACATGGCAGCGTTTATGCGTGGATAATATGACAACACCCTGTCTAATAACGCCCTTCCTTAGCAGCACTTCTCCAGCTACTCTTGTCCGGACTGGTCATGAGGAATGCCTGGCATGCCCGGGCCCGCCTTTCTTGGGTGGCTGGTGCGGTGAGTTGGGCACTTTCGCTGTCAGCGCTGGCGCGCCGCCATGCCAAGAGAAGGCCGGAAATGCCTAGGAGAGCCAAGCAGCCCCCAATGAGGCCAGCAAAGGCCACGAAGCGCTCGTCATCCAGACCCGCTGCCGCTATCAGGCTTGTCGGCTCCTTCGTTGCGCAGTATGCCATGGCATCAGGGACTTCATCCTACCATCTGGTCGGCTGAACCGACGTCCATCGGGCCAACATGCTGTTAAGCATGGCACAAAACCCAGAATTTCGGCATCATGTGGGTATGTCCCGCAGTAGGGCACCCCCCCGCCCCCATTACAAAGCCAACAAAAAGAGCAGAATCCCACTGAAAGAGGACCCCCCACAAGGAGAACCAAATTAGATTAAGCCCCGTTTTTGATCACGAGGGCCCAGTCTCAAGATGTCTTGAGTCTTGAGATGTCGCTTTCACGCGGAATGCGCAGCTGCAGCATGTTGCCGCATGTAGGGCCTCATGCCAGGCATGTTTACATCTTTTCACAGAGCTTTAAAGCTACTACAGGGAGTCGGGGCTGAGACCCGAAGTGTGAAACTGGTTCATGCTGGCGATCGGCGCTTAGACACGCCCGCGCCTACTCAGTAGCCTGGCCGCGTTTCCTGCCCATCGTAGTGGATGGGGCCTCCCGCAATGCGGCTGTGCAACAAAGCAGTAGCCTGAAACTGCGACACCAACAAGGCCCGCTAACGTCAAAAAACAGGGATCGCAACGACCAAGCTCCAAGGACTGAATGGCACCGAGACCCGTCCTAGGAACCCAGAAAGCCAGTGAAAGCCTGAACCCTAGCTCTAAACGAGCTCCGGCCTGCATAGCGCCGGACGTTGCTTGTGCTGGAAATTCAGTACTCGTCTGCTGTCCGTCACCTCTGGCGTGGGGATGAAGGATTTGGGGTTACTCAGGTGTGTCATGTGGGAGCTTTGCGGGAAACCCTAAAACCCTAAACCCTAATCCCTAAACCCTAAACCCGGTAGTTGTCTTGAGTGCAGAGAACAGGAAACCCCCCCCTCTCCCGCGAAGTCGAATATTTGCCCGAAAATGATTACGCACCTAGCCCACCGGCTCTTTGGAGTGGACGATGTGTCAGGACCAGGGCTCATGTTGGGGTTAGCGGATGGACCCCACCTCTATACCCCCCAAGCATCTAGCTTTTCAACAACCTTGTCTCCTTATCTCTCCTTAGCTCGAAGGCCGGCTGCCTGCCCCAACCCCCCTCTGCCCCCCCCCAAACCCCCTTGACACCTCAAGAAGACTTTGGATATTGGAAGCTTTCGTACCAACCTTGCCTCGCCGCTGCCATGGCGACAGGCCGAAGCGGGTCGCGGAGCGTCTAAAAAAATCGCTCCCCCCAGAAAGGGTACCCTTCAAGCTTGGAAAAAACACACACGAAATTGTGGTGTTCCTCCACATTGCTGTGGCCTGGCTGCCAGCGATACCAGAGCCAGAAGATGAAGATGGCAGCGACACAGTGGGTGCCCATGAGAACCGGAAGTATGGTACCCACGAGTTCCTCGGGAGCAACAAAGGTGTAAGATCCCTCTACCCAAGCCCGCAACCCTACGTGATGAGCACCTCGAAGCTGCGCATCTGCGCGGCTCATGTGGGTGGAGCCCCGCCCCGGTTGGGACTGTGGGCCATTGGCACTGCCAGTTGGTCACGCAGGGTGGTGGACCGTGGTGGATGCTTTCAAGGGCAAGCCGGGATCGTTTCCCCTCAGCGCTTGAGCCGTCAAGCACTGCAAGCCGAAGCGTGCGTCGTAATGTGGTTGGGGTTGGAAAAGGCTAGGCAAAGTTGCAGCTGTTGGCTCCAAAACGGTTTCGCTTATCAGTCGTTTTGTCTGCGTTCCTGGCTTGACTTGTTGGCGGCGCAGTCTTTCAGGACTGCTATGTCACATCGACATACCAGGACTAGTTTCCCCCATGGGACACCAGACACCCTTCTTTGCGTTTTGGCTATCTCGTGCACCCCTAATCCCGAGACGTATCTTGGCCTCAACAACACTGAAGATACTCCCAAGCATCTCCAGCTATGGTTTCACCTTCCACCCCGAACAGCTGCTCGGTTTGGACAGCTTCAGTCAGGCTCTGTTGGCAACTGAAGCATGAGGGCGCACTAGCGCGCAGAGAATAAGCAGAACAAGCACCTCAATCAACCATGCGCGAGATATAGATACAACTGAGCACGTGGCAACATTGTCATTGGCCTCAGGGAACTGCGCCTGAATGCGTTTCTTTTCTGCGTGTTTCATGGTTGCGGGGCTCGTGCAATCTTGATTTCTGGGAAAGGCAGGCGTGCGCAGTTCAGCATTAAACACGGAACACGGTGCTCCACATAGGTGCCTGATAGAGAATCACCGCGCGCACCGTGCAAGGATGGATACCTACTCCCCTCACAAAGGAGTACTGGAAAAAGGGGGGGCGGGAGGAACCTCAAAGCCGACGTTGGGGCACCGCCGCAAAGAGGTGGTTCGGGTCACCCGATCAGGCCGGGCTTTGGGAGGACTCAAGAACTTTTGGGATCCGCAGAGTGACAGGACTCCACAAGCTTCACAAAAGTGCCCTCCCAGAAGGAAAAAAGAAAAACGGGGGTGTTCGGGCTTGGAGCACTCGGGCGGATAGTTTCTCAGAGACAGACGTCAGACTCTGGGACGAACTTGGCCAAAACAACAAATGCCGTGGCAGTGACCCAGGCGCCCGCCTGAGTCGTGAATTTCCACAGCGCATTCGATTTACCACTACCGGCAGTCCAGCCGCCAAACACCCACATCGTGCCGTCGGCATCTAGTACTGCTGAGTGAGCAGTCGTCGCAGGCGGCCAAGGGCTTCCGATTTGAATCTGCTCCCAGCTCAAGTCCTGCAGGCGATCGGGCACTTCAGCGCTAACCACTGCTTTTCTACCTTGGGACGCCAACGCGTGCTTGCACCTACATCATGCTTCACTGCCATGATGGCCCCAAGGTCTGACAGAATCCAGAGAAGAGGGCATCAAAACTCTAAGACATGTACAGTACCCGCTTTGTGCCCTCAGTTTCTGCTGTCTTCACAAGTTCGCACAACATTAAGAAGCCTCTAGTTCCGGAAGTCGGGCAGGTAGCGTCTCAGAGACAGATGTCAGACTCTGGGACGAACTTGGGCAAAACAACAAATGCCGCGGCAGTGACCCAGGCACCCGCCTGAGTCGTGAATTTCCACAGCGCATTCGATCTATCAGCAATAATATCATCGTCAGTCCAGCCGCCAAACACCCACATCGTGCCGTCGGCATCCAGTACGGCTGAGTGAGCAGTCGTCGCAGGCGGCCAAGGGCTTCCGATTTGAATCTGCTCCCAGCTCAAGTCCTGCAGGCGATCGGGCACTTCAGCGCTAACCACTGCTTTTCTACCTTGGGACGCCAACGCGTGCTTGCACCTACATCATGCTTCACTGCCATGATGGCCCCAAGGTCTGACAGAATCCAGAGAAGAGGGCATCAAAACTCTAAGACATGTACAGTAACCGCTTTGTGCCCTCAGTTTCTGCTGTCTTCACAAGTTCGCACAACATTAAGAAGCCTCTAGTTCCGGAAGTCGGGCAGGTAGCGTCTCAGAGACAGACGTCAGACTCTGGGACAAACTTGGGCAAAACAACAAATGCCGTGGCAGTGACCCAGGCACCCGCCTGAGTCGTGAATTTCCACAGCGCATTCGATCTATCAGCATCGTCAGTCCCGCCGCCAAACACCCACATCGTGCCGTTGGCATCCAGTACGGCTGAGTGATCAGCCGTCGCAGGCGGCCAAGGGCTTCCGATTTGAATCTGCTCCCAGCTCAAGTCCTGCTGGCGATTGGGCACTTCAGCGCTAACCACTGCTTTTCTACCTTGGGACGCCAACGCGTTCTTGCACCTACATCATGCTTCACTGCCATGATGGCCCCAAGGTCTGACAGAATCCAGAGAAGAGGGCATCAAAACTCTAAGACATGTACAGTAACCGCTTTGTGCCCTCAGTTTCTGCTGTCTTCACAAGTTCGCACAACATTAAGAAGCCTCTAGTTCCGGAAGTCGGGCAGGTAGCGTCTCAGAGACAGACGTCAGACTCTGGGACGAACTTGGGCAAAACAACAAATGCCGTGGCAGTGACCCAGGCACCCGCCTGAGTGGTGAATTTCCACAGCGCATTCGATCTATTAGCAATACCACCATCGTCAGTCCCGCCGCCAAACACCCACATCGTGCCGTCGGCATCCAGTACGGCTGAGTGAGCAGTCGTCGCAGGCGGCCAAGGGCTTCCGATTTGAATCTGCTCCCAGCTCAAGTCCTGCAGGCGATCGGGCACTTCAGCGCTAACCACTGCTTTTCTACCTTGGGACGCCAACGCGTTCTTGCACCTACATCATGCTTCACTACAATGATGACTCCCCAGGACGGGAAGAATCCAAAGAACAAGGCATCAGAAACTCAAGGACATTTTGGCCGAAACAGCTTTGCGCCCTCAGTTTCTGCTGTCTCCACAAGCTCTAATTCCAGAAAGTCGGTCAGGTAGTTGGGCCACGGGTCCTGGGTTACCGCAGTGTTTCCTGCACTTGTCCGGTGTTTCCTGTGTTGTTCGGCTTTTTGGGGGTGGGGGGTTGGGGGGGGGGGGGGGGGATAAAAAACGTCATTCATATTGTGTCCATGCACAAAACACTGGTATTTACAGCGTTTTCATTTTCGCCTCTTTGTACAACATACTGCGCAAGGATGTAGAACAAGACACGTTGTCACAAGCGTCCGTGCTTCTCGCGACGATGCGCAAAAACACTGGTACTTACCGCGGTTTTTGCCTCTTTGTATAACATAATGCACAAGGATGTAGAAAAAACAAAGCTGTCCACAAGCGTCCATGCCTTTGAAACCATGCCCAAAACGCTGGTACTTGCAGCGTTTTCACCTTTTTCTATAACATACTAAGGACAGAAACCGAAACACAATGTAACAGTAAGAGCCAAGCAGCAAAAAGGAACAAATTAAGCAATTTTTGGGTACATTTTGAAGATTGTTTTTCGAGAATCGTGAAAAACCCAAGTGACACGCGCACTTCCCTTCAAAGAAAGTCCACGGCAACCCGGGACCCGTTGTCCAGGTAGTTTCTAAGCTAGACCTCAGACTCTGGGACGAACTTGGCCAAAACAACAAATGCTGTGGCAGTGACCCAGACACCCGCCTGAGTCGTGAATTTCCACAGCGCATTCGATCTATCAGCAATAATATCATCGTCAGTCCAGCCGCCAAACACCCACATCGTGCCGTCGGCATCCAGTACGGCTGAGTGAGCAGTCGTCGCAGGCGGCCAAGGGCTTCCGATTTGAATCTGCTCCCAGCTCAAGTCCTGCAGGCGATCGGGCACTTCAGCGCTAACCGCTGCTTTTCTACCTTGGGACGCCAACGCGTTCTTGCACCTACATCATGCTTCACTGCCATGATGATCCCAAGATCTCAAAGAATCCAAGAGGGCATCCGAATTCAAAGACATTTAACAGCACTTTCTGCTGTCTCCACAAGTTCGGACAACATCAAGAAGCCTCTAGCTACAAAGTCGGGCAGGTCGTGGGCAGGTCGTTTCTCAGAGACAGACCTCAGACCCTAGGACGAACTTGGCCAAACAATAGCACAGATGCGGTGGCACTGACCCAGGCACCTGCCTGAGTCGTGAAGTTCAACAGCGCATGCGATGGAGCATCACCACTTCCATCGCCAGTCCAGCCGCCAAACGCCCACATCGTTCCGCACGCGTCCAGTACGGCTGAGTGAGACCCCGTCGCAGGCGGCCCGGGGCCTCCGGTTGGAATCTCCTCCCAGCTCAAGTCCTGCAGGCAATCGGGCACTTCAGCGCTAACCAGTGGCTGCCTTCGGTTCTTCTTGCAAATCACGACACAAAGACACAAAGGCCCAAAAGAGCAATCGTCATCACGTCAGGGCATCTTGTCAAGACAGCTTTGCGCCCACTAGTTTCTGCCTGCAGACATCATCAAGAAGCCTCTAGTTACGGAAGTCGGGCAGGTAGTTTCTGAGTGAGACCTCAGACTCTAAGTAGGACGACCTTGGCCAACAAAAACACACACACACACACACACACATGCACGTGCACACATGCTGAAATGGCACTTACCCAGGCGCCCGAGTCGTGATTTGCCACAGCACGTCCGATCTACTATCAGTCCCACCGCCCAAACACCCGCAGCCATAGTACAGCAACATGTCTTTTTGTCGACCAGTACCAGGCCGTCTTAGGCCTTCACTTTACCGATGAATGCCGATGTTTTGAACCGGTCACACCACGTAACATGCGCTACTTTGTGCACATACCTGTACAAGATGTAGGATCTTACGCGGGTTTGTGGCATTGGATGGTGGGACACTGGTTTTCTGGCACAGCATACCGCGCTTTGTAGAGGGAGCCAACAGGAAGTCCCCACAACACCACCGTCACACTAGCTGGCATCCTCATTCCGCACCTGGAGTGACGGAGAGCGAAGCGGCTGATGGGCCTCCCTGTTGTATGCTTGCTGCGTTCGGGAGTGGGAAGGATGGTTTGCCTGTCTCCAAGATGGCCCAATGCCTCTCTTCGTGTGTCGCCTGCAAGCAGAATTTTGTCACCGGCAATCGAACCCCAATGGGGCGTGGTGGTTGTTTGTCGTTTAATCTTCTCGCGCTGCTCTCAAGAAGGACTTGTGATTTTCGGTTGTCCCGTTCCCTGCTCCGTATGGGGGTTTACGAGAATAAGGGACCCCTGATATAGACCCCAAATAGTAGGATTCCCTTATAAAAAGGACCCCGAAAAGGTACCCCAAGTTTCGGAAGACCCCGTATACTGCCCATGATCCTCCGCTGCAGGGATGCATGCATTAACATATGCTGCCGTGTGTTGAGGTAAGTCTACACACTGATGTGGGAAAGGTCTGACTGCGAGAAGACAGCAGCATCTTTTGAATTCCCTGTCCTGCGCCGGCTGCACGCAGCCTGCTTGCAGCAGGAGGCCCAGCAGAATTCTCCCAGCTGATCCTAGGTCTTGCAGCTTGGAACAGACATTCGTCCAAGCTTGGATTTGACGGGCAAGTTGCACTTTGTACAAAACCCCGTCTTTGAGAGCTTGTGATACGTATCGCTCTGCGCCATGGTCTGGAGACTTCAGCGTGAAACCCTATTACAAACCCTAAGCCCTACACCGGTACTCCCCTTAGAACCTTAATAAAAAACAATATTTTTAATATCTTCTTGGGTTTATTATAAACAAAAATAAAAATAATTCCAAAGGAGGCTATAGACATCCTACGCCCTACACCCTACACCCTACACAGCGCGCAGCCTTGCCTGCAACGACGTCCCTCAAGTGCGCGCATGCACATGTAGAGGGTACTTGCCAGTTCTTCAGAAGAAATAAGGACTCCGCGACCCTGTTGTGCCAGATGTATGGGCATACGCCTCTCTCATGCAACTTCCTTGCGACTTCCTGTCGCGCGCAAGCTGTAGGCACAGGGCTGGGACTCAGGCCATAGGCAGGTCAAATACGACTCTTCTGTGGTGCACCATGCTACTTTTTTTGGGAGTACCAGCGGAAGGACAGCGAAACCCTGAACCCTTAACCCAAAACGAGTGAAAAGGAGAGTTCTCCATTTAGTGCAAATCGGGTATTGGTTCCGCAGCCCGTGGAGTTGATTCGGCTCCTACCCATGGCACCTTGTTGCTGTGGGGAAATTTTAAGCCCAAGGCCCGTAATTAAGCTGCAGCTCTTAGGGACCACCAGGCCAGCCTTGAGACTTTATCTTGCAAAGCTCATGGCGTGCTCATAAATATAGGCGTGCTTCAAAACCCAGATTCCCCAAAGCCAAGCGCCTGGCTATGCCGCCACGACAAATGCTCCCTGTTACACCCTCCTGTGCAACCAGCCTTGAAGCCCTGAGCAACGCTGCAGAGGCACTACGCTGCACCTTCTGCAGCGTCACGGCCATCGTCGCCAGGATTGGGGTTTGTGGTTTGGGCTTCGGTGCTATGCACTCAACCCGTCCAGTAACCCTGCATGACCCGAGATCCAACTCGCCACGAGTGAAAGACTCTGGATTCTACCTGATGCATGGTTTGCTCTGACAAATGTCACGTGGATACCGATGGCTGCAGACAAGTCGCTGTGGGCTGCACGTGATGCTGCGATTGTATTAGACAGGTGTGGGAGGTGGATGGTTCATGAGGCATCGCATCTCACGAGAACGATGCAGTATCCACCATTCTCCTTACTTCTATTCGCCAAGACAAAAGAAGGTGTCGATGAGACGATGATCCTGCTTCTGGTTATCATCCATGGCACCTCTGACTTAGGTTGCAGCCACTGACAGGCTTCCGGTCCATGCCTTGGGACTTCCGTCTTAGGGTTTAAGCGGTTTCGGGTCTTGAGTCGACCTTTTCATCTTTTTCATCATGCGCCACATGCATCGCACGTGAATTTTCGAGGCAAGGCTGCTGGCGGGCTCTCGGGCGGTAGAACAACGACCCTAAATCTAAACTTGAACTCCCTGAATCGTCACCCCGACCCCGACAAGCCCTGCAGGCAACTCCAGCCATGCCATCATGCCCTGAACCTTAAGCCTTAAGCATCACGAAACAAACCACAGAAAGCGCGATTCCAGGTTTGTTCGTCAGCTGCGTCAAGTTAAGGTGCTACTGGAGAGGTTCGAAGACCGCCTGACCTAAACTCCCAAACCCGAAGCAAGCTCCGGGGATTCGGATTCTTCCAGCCCTCGGGCCACCACCTGCCGAGTTTGCCCAGATCAAGCTGTACAGGCGTGTTCCTTTTTAGGTGCGGCTTCTGGCCTTTTATGGCATAAGGTTGGCTTTCGGCTTGGGGTTACAAGACTTAAGGGTTTAGGGCTGCCAGGGCCCTCAAGTTTGGGGTTTGGGTGGGCTTGAGGCGGCTCAGGGTTTTCAACTTCAGGACTTCCAGATTCCATTAAAAGGCAAGCTTTAGGTGGGCACTCGCAGGTTCCAGGGTGCCTGGATTAGAGGGTTAAGCAGCTTAAGACCTCAATCCCAAAGGCCTAAGCTTTGTGGCATGTGACCGTGAGAATTGTGTGGCTTAACACCCAACAAGTGCATTCTCGTGCAGTCCCAAGTCTCTCCGGCTGGTTCCGGGAGCCTGGGATCGAATTAGGCTGGCGCTACGTGCACGCCAAGAGCACGAATGCGCCCGCGCGCGCGTGTGCGCGCATAAAGCAGCGGGGGAGGGGGGATTTGCAATGTAAACGGTTCAGGTTATGGGCTGCTTGTTTACGGGTGCCACTGGAGGGATCAGGCTACAGGGCTCTTGTTGGCAGAATATGTACACCTCAGCCTCACGAAGCTTGCGCCGAGGCAGCCTTAGCAACAAGCAGCGGAGCAATCGTCGGCACTTGAAGCGCTAAATCCTGCGGCATGAGCCCCCAAATACCCTTGAAGCCCCTGTAGCCCCGAAACCCCTAAACCTTTCCCACAGAAACCCCGAAATCCCGAAATCCCAAAACCCCTAAACACATAGCCTGCGAAGCTCAAGGCATGGGCCGTGTTGCTGGGCTCCGTCATCCAGGGGACCTATGAGGGAAGCCGTCGGTTGTAACTTTTAGGGCTTTCGGGGCTTAGGGTTCGGTGTTGAAAGGGTGAAAGGGGGTTTTGGGTTGGGGCTTCAGGGGTCATCCAGGGAGCTGAATTTCCGGCCCGCTTTAAAAAGGTTGCGGATTAGATCCAGGAAGGACGCAAACTTAATCACCACTTGACCAAGGAGCTTCGTCTATGTAGTCTTTGGGGGTCCCCGCTGCAGTTATCTGAGCCATGAATATGCTTCGTCTACAAACAAGCTAAACTGCAGCTAAACCCTAAACCGTAAACCTAAACCCTAAACCCTAAACCCGCCCCCCCCCCCCCAAAAAAAAAAAAAAAAAAAAAAACATAAATAAATACATAATAAATTAATAAACAAAACAAACGCAGGCCTGGCCCCCTTGCATCCGTTGCATCCGGCGGCGACTCGCACCTGAGAGGCTTAGGAAGGGGTTTGGGGTTGGGGTTTACGTTTAGGGTTTAGCGGTTTAGGGCTTGGGGTCTATCTAGGGTTTCGGGGTGTAAGGCTTTAGGCTTTCAGGCTGTCATTTTCGGGTTTATGAGATAGGGCTTTACGATGTTCGGGTGTCGGGTTTTCGGGGTTCGAGGCGGTTTGCGTTCTGTAGACTTCTTCAAGCACTTGACGCAGGACTTCACAACAAGAGCTTGATCCATCTGAAAGCTCCTGGTGTGCGAGTGCTCTGCAATGACAACACTTGGTAGATACCAAGATCACATGTCCGGGTTGCAAAGAACCACCTCCTCCACCCCCCAAACGCCCCACCCTAAATCTTGAAAGCTGAGCCTCCCGAAGCCCGCTGCCCATCCCCCGCGCCTCGGCTCTTCACGCACAAGCCCGAATTAAACCCTTAGAGAGTTCTTTTCTAACTTTTGAGCCCAAAAACCTGGACCCAAAAACCCTTGACCCCGAAGCCACGTAACCCCGCAAAGAGGGTTGTTCTGCGAACCTTGTCATACGGAGCCCTGCTATTCCAACCCTGCAAGCCCTAACCCTAAACCCTAAACCCCAAAACCCCAAACCCAAAACCCAAAACCCCAAAACCCCAAAACCCAAAACCAAAACCCAACCCCAAACCCTGTCGGTCTCCCCGCCCGCGCCGAGTGCGAGCGGCCCCTGGCGCCTCGGCTTGCAGGGCTTTCGGGTTTAGCGTTTAGGGTTGAGCGCCGCAGGCCCTCCGTGAGCTGGGCTGTGAGATGAGAGCCCCACGTGGGCTTGACTATACCAGGTTTGGGGTTTAGGGTTTCATGGGGTTTAGGGTTTAAGGCTGGCACGCCAAAACGGACCCTAATTTAGAGAGCTGCCCATCTGGGGGTTTCGGGCTTGAGGTGCCCAAAAACCCTGAACCTCGACCCTAAAGCCCAAAACTCCTTAGGGTTTAGGATTTAGGGTTTAGGGTTTAGGGTTTAGGATTTAGGGTTTAGGGCTTGGGGGTTGAGGCCCCGACTTGTTACGGGCTCCGTGTCATCGAAGAGCATGTCCCGGAACCTTTGGCAGAAAGCGGCTGGGCACAGATTCGGTAGCCCTAAACCCTAAACCCTAAACCCTAAACCCTAAACCCTAAACCCTAAACCCTTAACCCTTAACCCTAAACCCTAAATCTTGTAAACCCTAAACCCTCAACCCTAAACCCAAGGGGGCTGGGGCAGAATAGAGTTAAGGGCTCAGGCCCGACCAAGAAGCTGCAAACGTCTCAAGCACAAAGTCTTTTGGGGCACAAGCTTCATGGGGTTGAGGGGGCATAGAACAACTTCGAAATGTTACTATGGTTCGGGGATTGGAAGCAACCAAGTCAAACAGGGTCACAGGAGTTCTCTAGACAATGAAAGTCTGTGCAAGCCCCCGCAGCTCTGGACAAAACGTGCCCGCTGCCTTTGAACCCTATAAGGCCCCAGACTAAAGCAAGAAGACTCGGGAGGGGGGGGGATCATGAGCATCAGCTGGGTATTCTTCTGGTCAAACGCCACCAACCTTCGCCCCAGTGATTGCGCAGATGTGACGAGGCGGGAGGCGAGCATCATGAGAATAGCTGGGCATTCTTCCGTTCAAATGGCCCCCTGAGCTCCAAACGCATGCAAAACGTGCAGATGTGACGAGGCGAGCATCATGAGCATCAGCTGGGTATTCTTGCGGTCAAATGCCCCAGACGCTTGCAAAACCCTTAGCCCCAGTGATTGCGCAGATGTGACGACTCCAGACGCTTGCAAAACCCTTCGCCCTAGTGGCTGCGCAGTATCTGCGACGAGGCGGGAGGCGAGCATCATGAGCACCAGCTGGGTACTCTTCTGGTTAAATGCTCCCCTAAGCTCCAAACGCTTGCAAAACCCTGCGCCCCAGTGATTGCGCAAACGTGACGCGGCGCGAGGCGAGCATCATAAGCATCAGCTGGGTATTCTTCCGGTCAAACACTCCCCCAAAC